CTGAAACACAAAGAACCAATAACACCTCCACTGAGGCTTGAACTCATAATCTTCCAAATGGAAGTCCAACCTGGATACCATTAGACCACATAGTCCTGGTGATCACTATATTATTTAAATATATGATAATTCAAAAGTATCATCACTTAAGAAATTGCAAAACATAATTTTAATTAATTTTTTAAATTTTGTTACTTACAAATATTTTAATATTGGGCATAAGTTTTCGCGCATCGCGTGTACAAAATGCTAGTATATATATATATATATATATATATATATGTGTGTGTGTGTGTGTGTGTGTGTGTGCGCGATTGAGGATGCCATGTGCGGTTGTGCGGTGAAAGGAGAACCATTGATTTTACTTAAATCGGCGTTTAGATTACCAAAATTAAATAATAAAAAAAAACGCGGTGACATTTTGGTAATTTTTTACATTTAGGTCAAATGTAAGGTGCATTATTTTTGTGAGTAAGGTGCGTGAGTTTGTGCTTAAGGTGCGTGAGTTTGTGCTTAAGGTGCGTGGGTTGTGTACTTAATGGTAGTTGTTGTTGAAACTTAAGGTGCGTGAGTTTTGTGCTTAAGGTGTGTGGGTTTGTGTTTAATGTGAGTAGTTGTTGAAACTTAGGTGCGTGAGTTTTCTTCTTAATATGCGTTGTTTTCATTATAAGGTACGTGATTTGTATGCTTAAGGTGCGTCAGCTATGGAAAACTTAAAATGAACCATTTTTAAAACCTTAGGTGCCTGATTTGTGTTCTTAAGGTGCTTTGTTATGTGCTTAAGGTGCGTGGTTGGTGTTCTTAATGTGTTTTGTTTATGTGCTTAATGTGCGTGTGTTGTGTACTTAAAGTGCGTTAGTTTAATACTTAATGTGCGTTCAACCACACAACCGCACGGGAATTGAAGCTATTCCCGCACCTAATCCCTTCAATATATATATATATATGATCAAATGAGAACACACTCTCTAGAGAAAACTAATTAAGAACCAATCTCAGCCTTATATTTGGAAAAAAATGAACGAATTTGATAAATTTTTTTTTTTAAAAAAAAACACGTTAACCTTTTTGTAATTTTCACCAATTTTATACTGTGTACTTCTGAGAATTTTTCAGAAATGCACACATTATGTTGTTAAAAAGTGCACGGTAAAGTATTAAAATGCACGTTTAGTATTAAAAATTACACTTTGCAAATTGGCCCCCTAAGTCAAGTGGATAGTGCAATTAGGTCTCCTAAGTGAAAAAAGCTCCATTCAAGTCCCCTAAACCTGTAAAATTGTTCAATTAAGTCTAATATGACTTGTTTAACAGGTTAAATCGATATGGTGTTGACACGTGTCCTTCATATTTTATTTTTTAAAACAAATATTTTTTATTTATTAAAAATTAAAAATATTATTTATTATAAATTAATTAATTAAAATAATAATAATAATTAAAAATTAAAAAAAAAAAAAAAAAAAAACAGCCATCGGCTGTCTGCACTAGACAGCTAGTGGCTATCTTCCTTCTTCACGATCGTCTAAGGAAGGCGGCCATGGACGTCTGGCCGTCTTCCTTAGACGGCCGTGGCCGGACGGCCACGACTGTCCGTGAAGAAAGAAGACAACCACCGGCTGTCGGGCGCGAACAGTCGGTGGCTGATTTTTTTTTAAAGTATTATTATTATTTTAATTAATTAATTAATTAATAAAAAAATATTTTTAATAAATAAAAAAGTGTTTATTTTAAAAAATAAAATAAGAAAGACACGTGTCAACACTATATCACATGTTAAACAAGTCATATTGGACTTAATTGAACAATTTTACAGGTTTAGGGGACTTGAATGGAGCTTTTTTCACTTAGGGGACCCAATTGCACTACCCACTTGACTTAGGGGGCCAATTTGACACTTTTCTCAACTTTTAACATTATATTGTGCACTTCTCGGGATTTTCTAGAAATGCACATTATGTTGTTAAAAAGTTCATGGTAAATTATTATTATTTTTTATTAAAATTTTTTAAGTTTATTATTAAAAATTATTTAAAATGCCAACACATCATCCACGTAAGCAGACAATCTGATAAAATGAATAATAAAGGTGTTTAGTGGTCTAATTGTACTTTTTTCGTTCAATGGTTTAATTACATTTTTAGATTACGTTAGACAATTTAAACATTATTCCTATGAAATAATGTAACAATTTTGAAAGACTTTGACTCTGCACACATTTCTTGTCATTGACACTTGAGATTGGGGTGGATGATTAGAGGTGAAGGGGGCAACGAACTATCCTTTCTTGAATTTTGAATGAACAAGCAAAGCTATCGATATCTCTCTCCAACTTTCCCCTATTCCTAAATCCTAACTACCGTTAGAAAAGTTAACCACCTAATATGGTTGACTCTACGCCTGGCAGCAAATTAAAAGTCCATCATCAACGCCACAATTCTAGTGGAGTTAGGTTGGTTATTATAATCAAATGCATTCATACGCGGCCGTTTAATATTGCGTTTAATTTGTCAAAAAGGCCCTCATCTTTTTGCACGGTTTAAAAGATGTTAGCTTATTTGTTAGAGAAGCCTCCCTCCAGGTCATAAACACGAAATAATGAACATGAATTTTGTGCATTATAAACATGAATTATATGTATTATGTAAATGTTTATATGTCAACAGCTATATAATACGCAGAATTCATGGTCATTATATTGTGTTGATGTATTATGAATATAAATTTTGTGTATTGAATCAGAATCCACAGTGCACTGTAAACTCTGATCCATGATATAATGATTGCCCATCAAAGTCCCCGTTCTAATCGATAAAAGTTGCATCTTTTATTTTTATTATATATATATAACTTTATGTTTTTTTTTTTGTTATATGAGAATAATAAAATTAAACTTTACTTCTAAGTTACGAACGGACGCATTGCATTTAAACAAATATTTTTGTAGACTATAATTTTAGCTTTTTCATATTTTTTTATTTTTATTTTTATTCACATCTTGCTTAAGAATTATTTATCAATTTCTAGTATTTGTTTAAGGATGTTGATAACTGTCATCCACGCCTAATGTAACTAGTATTGAGAAGACATAATTCTAGTGGCAATCCTAGTCAAGTTAGTTAGATAGTTGGCTTAATAATCACAATGTTTTAAGTTCAACTTCTTGTGAGAGTTGTATTTTAACCTTTTTAGTCTAAAATAATAGTCAGGTGTGTATAATTTAAATTGATTTATCTTATTATAATTTTTTACCAGCTAAGATTATAAGATAAATTTCATACAAAACACATTAGAGAATTACAAGCTTTCTCGTAAATCAAAGAATACAACATTCCAATTCCAATGAGTTGTCCCCAGTCATTTGTTGCCTGTGTAAATGGAACGCTTTGCTTTTGAGTATAAAATGCATATTTTTTTTCGTAGCATAAGTTATAGTCTGTCTAACCTCTAGCCATTATACAATTGTCAAAAGCCTTGAAATCAATAGTATTCAAAAAAAATAAAAAAATAAAAATAAATTAATAAAATAAATAAAAACCTTGAAGTCAGAAGTTAGGTTTGAATATGTTGTTATGTTATAATCCATCATTTATATGTAATTTGTGATTCATTATTTAGATTGTTGTGTTTAACTAATACAAGTTATTGTAATAATTGCATTAAAAATATTTGTTAATAAATTGAGATTCCCACATTGTATACTCACTCTTTCATAACAAAAATCCAGCAGTTGTTATACTATAGACTATTGTCCACACATCGCTGTGTGTGGACCATGATCGTCGAATAAAATTATATTAGAATTAAAATAATACTTTTGTATTATTATAATAAAACTAGTGTGTGTGGAGAATGAAACTAAAAAACAAAGCACATTATTGTCAAATGAAACTATACTATAATTAAAATGATATTTTAGTATTGGTATAATGAAATTAGTGTGCATAGAAAATGAAACTAAAGTTCAGAGCTATACAATAACCTATATTGTCAAATGACGCGAAGTGCAATTAAAATAATACTTCAACATTACTATAATCAAACTAGTGCGTGTGAAAAATTAAACAAAAAATAGAGCTCAAGCAATAATGTATATTTTGTTTTTGAGCTCAAGCAATAATGTATATTTTGTTTTTGAATGCTACTGACTCTATTACATACACCGCCTCCATTGAAGCTCAATCTCATGACCTCTCATATGAGAGAGTCACTACATGCCATTTGAACACAAAGTGCCCAACAGCAATAATATATATTATCAAATGAAACTATAGTAGAGTGAAAATGATATTTTAGTATTACTATAATGAAACTAGTGTTGAGGGAAAATGAAACTAAAAAACATAACAATTTTATCAAATAAAACTAAAGTGTAATTAAAACGATACATACTTTATGATCCACGTTGCTACATACCATGGTCGACAATAAAATTTGCCAAAATCCAGTCTGCCTTTTTAAACGGGTGTGGGACCGTTAAGTTTTAAATAATGTATTAATCCTTCAAAGAGACTCCACAATGCTCCCTCATCCCTAGGCTCTGTCCGTTCAATCCCGTTATATTTTTTTTTAACACTTATATTTATGTGTATTATGTTAACAGTTTATTTGTACAATGTATTATGTTAAATTATGTGTATTATATTAAGAGTTTATATGTATTCTACTATATAATTCTGTACATACAAAACAAGAGATCTTTTTAAGAAGTTAACGATAAAAATGAGAAACAAAATTAAAAAAATACAAAACGGCATGGTGCACGATATAATTTGCCTTAAATCAAGTACGTACAGTTTACGCAGAGCTGTCAGGCCCATTTCGGAGCCAATCAATATCGAATTCACCGTATTAATCAACCTGCAAATGACCGTCTTTCAAGTTCTGTATTGCATCAGTGCTTGCAGACTCACGGACGCACCTCACAAATCACAAAATATAAGTATACAACACTGTAGCTAATCAATTTTGTTATGTACGTTTAAAGCCACAGCCTAAACGAGCACGCATCTAGGTCCAGGAATGAATCCAATAAAAGAATTATTTTTACATTCGCAAATCATCCTGCACATACTGTTTTGAACCACACAACCTATCTCAAATTATAACTAATTACATTTCATTAACCCCTTCTTACTTTTGTAGACTACCTCTGCTTTGTAATGCAATAAAACCGACAAAAACAATAAAAAGCACCATGTGAAAAATGTATAACGGAGAAAATGTCCTTAAAATTTAGGGAAAGATGAGAAATTTGGAAATGATATGAAAACTGGTGAAGAAGAAATTGATCATCACGACGATGCCTCTGACTCAGCAGCAGCCGCTTTGGGGTCAAGCATAGAAGGCTGATCGATTTCTTTGCGAGATGCTTCCCACAGCTGTTGTTCTATCCCCAATTTCCTGAGCTCTGTCAAGCCCCTTTCAACTGCAACAAAAGCAAACATTGTGATTAGTTTTCATTGAGGCAAGACTGCAAGATTCCAAACACAAGCATTATTGCTCCAAAATTTGACAACATAAACTCCTGCCCAACAACCTCTCCTATGCACATGCTAAAACTACGAACCAGACCCTAGCAATGTCACTTCTACAGGATACAGATTGAACTGTAATATACGGGCAAAGCAAATAGATATATGCACTCCACTGACTCCAGTATGTGGCATACCATCAACAGCATCGTGTGTCGTTGGTGAAAGGCCACTAGGCCCACTATGGCTTGCACTACGATTTATCCAGAATTGAAGTCTATCTTCTGCAATATCCTCTTCAACACCATGTACTTTAGCTCTTCTCCAGAAATATGTAAGCCAAGCCTGCCAAGGTCACCCATAATGTATTAAGAAGTGCTTCTAAAATTAGCAGTATTGAACCAGAAGAACAAACTTCATATCCATTTTCCAGGGGTACAGTCTTTGAGAAGCAAATTTCTGTAGATAAGCATCTATGTAGTTATCCCAGCAGCAAAATTAGAGACTATGTTTAGAAGTGTATATTACTATTTCAGAATACCAGAATATAGAAGAATAAAAGATATATAATCTAACAAAAGAAAGGTCAGACCTCCTTGAAAAGAACATCTTCTGCCTCCTCCTTACTTAATTCTGCAACCAAAATATGCATATAGATAAATATCATTTATTGATGTACAATTTGTTTCAAGTTTCAAAAACAGAGAGATGGAGTTGCTTGTTGCTCAGGCAATTAACTTAAGTGGCAGAAGGGGAGTGGACATCAAGCAACATACACAAAATTTCTGAAGTTTGTGGATACACAATTCATAACGGGGAAGAAGCTATACGTATATACAAAGAAACTCAGATGTACCCCATCAATCTACAAGAGGCTCATAAACAAAATAAAGTTAAAAGGCCCATATCAAGGTACTAGCTAATCATATGCCACTCATGTATGCAATATTTTAGAAGATGCAGACTGGAGCCCCAAGCCCCCAAATCCCAATTTTAATGCCTTAAAACAACTCACAAAAACTCCATCAATTTACAAGCTTACTAGATCCCAGATTGCCTAGTTTCCCTACTCAATTCTAATTTCCACAACAAACAAGGAAAAGCAGAGATACACAAAGACACCAATGAATTTTATTTTTGAAACAAAATGTAGTACATAGAAATAATTTTATTACCGTATGCATCAGTGAATTTAGAGTCACCTGATGATTTAACATCTGCAAGGAAATAAACCCAACACATACTTAATGACTATAATTAAAGTTTGCATATCACAAAAAGAAAAATCTCGTAAGAATGCTGAATAATAAAGAGGAAAGGTAAAGAGGGAGCAGGGTGTGGCATCACAAGCAACTAAAAAAAGAATATGCTATCAATCATATAAATCACAGTTGGCACTTAATGCAATCATTAGCAGAATAAAGGCAATCCTTGCAAGGACAAAATAACCAGTCATGGCAATAAAAGTTTTATCTCCATTCAATGTTGCAAAATACGTTAGGGGGCGCCTAGGCGCCCGAATTTTTTATTTTAAAAAAAAATTGTAAAAATTCACTAATAAAACATAAGGTTCCCCTAGTTTTTTCTTACAAACTATATACGTAAGTGGTTGTAAAATTGTTCAAAATATTGTTGAAACCATCTAAGTACATAAAAAAATTAAAATTAAGAGCAAAAGAAGCATTTTTTTTAGAAATTGGAGGAACAAAAAAAAAAAAAAAAAAAAAACGGGACGTTTCAGCCGGCTAGGCGGTCTAGGCTGCCGCCTAGCTGCCCGGTCACGGAGGAGGCCAATTCCGGCCTTCCTCGCCGCGGCCGGGCGGCGCCTAGCTCCTAGGCGCGATTTTTGCAACATTGTCTCCATTTCAGTAAAAAAGTTGGAAGATGCTAGAGCAGCCATCTTTGTGTCAATAGGAAGTTAGGTTTGATCTGCATCGAATAACATGTATCCAAAAATACATGAAGATACACATGCAGTCATGCACATAAAGTGTTTTTAGGAATAATGAACACAAGACGAAGCCAAAGAACCTATAGGCAGGATGATGAAAGTGATTAAGAGGAGTACATTGTAACTGAAAAAATAAACAGTAGTCAGATCTAATATGATAAGAATAGCTGCTCATACCAGAAATGGATTGCTGAACAATATTTGAACGTCTACTTTGGGCCAGTGCTAGAACAATAGCATCCTCAACCTTAAAGTAGAAGAAATGATGATATACTGAACATGATGAAACAAACACAAACATCCCATACAAATGTTTGATATAAAACAGAATAAATTGTAGAACAAAAAGAAACCTTCAGGGACGTTAATTCTCTTAGAGCCATTTCAACTGAAAGCATACTCTCAATGTTTCCTTCTCCAGTAAGGTCATTCAAGTCACGAACAAGTTCACCCCTGTCTGAATTGTCTCCACCTGCTCAATGTCAGAAAAAATAAAGTGAGAAGTTTCAAAATGAGACTGAAGTATCTAGCTGCAATAAAACAAATTTTAAAATAAATATAAGAAAATCTATAGTTGCAAAGGAAAGAGTCAGCACCATCCCAAGACTCCTCTCTTGCCTTCTCGCCAGCAGAATTTACTACTTCAAGTGGAATAGGGGCCAAAGATGACCAGAATTCATGTTTAGAGACTGCAATATCCACACAGATGCCTGTAAAACACATCAATTAGTAACAAATAATGCAATGTTGAAAAAAATTATAATGAATCAACTAATCCTCCTTGAAGAACAAGCTTAGAAGAATCATTTGCAGTTTGTAAAATTACCTAAAGTTTTTACTTGTATCAACTAATAAGTTCACTTTCAGAAAGGGTTTACAGCAGTTTTAACTCCTGAATGACATGTGCATTTGAAACTAGAAAAGTTTAATAAGTGACACAATCTTAATTACACATGCATGGCAGGATGCATACAATAAATACGGCACACCCACTAGTGCTTCTGTAGAGAATTTTAAAGCAAGTAATTACCGTAATATACAGCTAAGCCCCAATATCGAGCAAGCCAACACCTCTTCAAAACTACCTCTTCCTAAAAAGTCAAAATGGAACGGGAGAGAAGAAAAAATATTTCACTTCCAAACATTTTTGAATGAATAAAGAATGACTGGTATCATCAAAATCTAATAGGCAAGTAGGCAACCATCTCTTCATGAGTCAAAATCATCCTTTGTGTCATTCTACGAAGAGCTTTTGCTTCAGATTCCGCTTCACGTTGTTTCTCTACAGTATTTGCAGTCTCATCTTTCAAGTTCTGGAGAAAACAGGTTCAATAAGGAGCAGGGCTCATTGCAATAACAAGAAAAATATATGATTATTGGGCATGACTTACATCAATCTCTGCACGGAGAGATGCCATTTCTTCATCTCTCTCACCCTTATTATGTATTGCAGCTTTAAGAGCAGCCTGCAGGACTTAATAGTAGCCTAAGAATAAGAAGATTATTTCCATAATGTGATGTGCATGATGTCATTTGATTAGTCTAAACAATGCTAGGAATTGACAGTCTAGACTTGAGATACATCAATGGGGGCTATAGAAATAAATAATAATTGTCACTATTAAAATTTTCACATGGCTCTATAATACCTCTCTTTGACGAATTGCTGCTTCCTTCCTGCAGGTAACCATTGTTTCAATGAGGCAACAAATATTAAGCAGCAATATGGCACAGGTAAAAATAAAATAAAATTACCGGCTCAATAATTTAGCTTCAAGGGATACACCATCTCCAAGAGCAGCAACCTGTATTTAGATAACCTCAGACAAATGCACACCAAGGAGAATAATACAGGAATACAAAGTATAAACTAATAAAAGCAATGTTCCAAGCCAAATAGTGAAAAAATAACATTCCAAAATAATATCATTTTTGACACTGTAATCAGTAGCAACCTGTTTATTTGCATATCTCAACTAACAGAGAGAACAGGAATTGGTATCAAGGAGCAGGTTCTGGTACTAATAATATGGCAATTTCGATCAACAAATCATAATGCAAAAGACAATCAGTCCCTAACTAGTAACTACTGTCAAACCTGCTTCTCCAGCTCCCTAGCTCTAGCCTCTGCTTCTTCACGTTTTTCTTCTGCACGACGAAGCTGTAGAGCTTATCAGTTTTTATGATCCACATTACAAACTAAAAGCATCTCCTTTCTTTTTCTTTTATTTTTAAGTATTTGGAACAAGAAAACCCATCATGTAACTGTGTAAAGTTTTTCCTCCAGGATATGGCTCACCTTGTCTAAAATAATCTCATTCTCTTCTTGAAGCATGTCAAGCTGTAAGCAATAGGAAATTGTCATTTCAAGTACAAACAACGCCCTATGGACAGTTTAAAAGATCAAGGAGCCAGAAAAGGTCGGTCCCCATGGCTCTTAGTAATTTCTACTTCAGAAGCTAGTTAAAAAACATATAGAAAATAATTAGATATCATACTTCATCATGAAGTGCAGAAGCCTCGTGCTGATTTCCCGAGTCTTTTAAATCAATGCGTCCCATTTCAGGTGTAAACCTAAAACAGTTGTCAAAAAGATCAATTTCCATAAGAATTCCAAATTAACTCAAGAAGTAAAAACTCATTGGCATAGTGTCATGACATCTGAAATCCATAAGACAACATGTCATATGCATTGAAGTAGCTTACCAGTAAGTAGCCATACATAGACTCGGCAGTCCAAAGTGAACTAGACAGTACATTTCTAGATCAGGAAGTTATTGAACATCAGAAAACGTACACACCATAGAAATTGACCAAAAGTAGCCATGAATGTGTAATACAATAACCAAGAACATTTTCCTATAATTAGCTGCTCTCTCAAGAAGTCAAAAAATAGGATAAACCATCATTAATCTGTAGTGCTTACTAAGCACCTCCACAGCAGCATAATCCCCAAAAGAAAGAAAGAAAATTGGGTACATGTTCTGCACTTATAGATGGAGTTTGGAATCAATTGCAAAAGAGTGTCAAAGACATCACATTTTGAATACAATATTGGCAAATGGCAACCATTGGGATATATGAAGCATGCTTAGCATAGAGTTTAGAGAAATGTCCTTGAGGGTGAAGAAAGAGAAACCAAGTTCAATGCATTATAACATGGAGATAACATTCAACAAAGAAAATGAAGGAACTACATCAGCAAGGAGCAGATTAAGATTTAAGATGGAGAGAACAAGCAAACTAAAAACTGCAAAAAATACCACTATTATTCTATTAAGGAGCAAAAACTTTGGAAGCCAGAAATGAAGATTCGAACATCTAATACCTTTTCTCTCTCAATCTATTACTAGGGGGTTCTATTGGAGGAATAGAAACCGGTGTTCTTAGTGATGTTCTGGTTGGTTGCATAACTGTTGTAGTTGTCGTAGTTGAGCTTGTACGAACAGATACTGAAGATCTTCCAGCCGATGTCGAACGCACTGTAGGAGTATGATCCATGAAGGTCCTACCTAACTAAAAACGACAGCACCGAATTATGAATGAATGTAATTCATAAGAACATTTCAACATTTCTATGATAGTAACTATTGATACAAAAACCACATCAAATAATCAAGTCTTAATTTACAGCTAAAAAACAAGGAATTTATGAAATTACCGCAGGCGAAGGAGATCTATTGGGCTTAGCAACTGAGATAGCCGAAAAACCACTGCCGTAACTATTACTATTACTGTGACTGCGGCCATTACCGGAAAACGTGTTACTCGGCCGCCTGAACCCTAGATCATCGTCCTCGTCGTCTTCCTCCTGCGTCTGCGAAGAAGCCATGACCTGCGCCAAGCGCTGAGCAGCGGCCTTAGCGGCTACGTTCTGAGACCTTTTGATATTTGACATCCCAGCCGCCGTCGGCGGCAGCCGCGAACGTGGATGCGCGGGGGATCCCGCCGGCGACGATGACCCGGTGCTGCTGGATCCCCCGCTCCATTGCCTAACGTAGACCGGACTCTCAGTCCTCCTCCGATCCATATATATGTGTGTGTGTTGTATTTGAGCTAGGTTATCGGAAGGGAAATTGAGAGCTAGATATTGTCCGGAGAAAGAGGAAGATGGAGAAGGGAAGAGAATTGACTGATCATATATTCGGGTGGGTCAGCAGCAAGGCAGAAACGGAAGAAGTGAAATGAAAACGAAGCGCGTGGGCGCGTGAAGGAGAAATTTCATCGACTTGAACTACTGAGAATAAATCCGGTCGTGCTCGAGCTCAACCGCAAGAATAATAGGCTTCCACTTGGTCGAATTGACGAACTGTACGGCATAGCGCTGTTTATAAATTAATAGAAATATATATATTGTGATGTAATATCAACGAAGTCGTTGTAGTATAGTGGTGAGTATTCCCGCCTGTCACGCGGGTGACCCGGGTTCGATCCCCGGCAACGGCGAAATTTTTGGTAAACCCAGTTTTCCGGCAAATCAGATCTGATCCCTCCCAACGGCGTCATCCGGTTTCCCTATTTTCTGGTTTTGATTTGTTATAAACTGCTTTCGTAGTTTGGCCAAGCTACTCTCTTCCCCTCCATATTTGATAATTACATTAGGCTTCAACTAAATAAAAATGAAACTACTATAAAGCTCTTTTTCTATACTTTTTTGTTGCTTATATTTTGGATTATCTACCTCATTTTTTTTTCTATTTGAAATATTTTTTTTACCATAACATTTATATGTAATTATAAAATCTGTTATGCAATAATAATACAAAACGGGTTCAAACTCTCAATCTTTAAGAGAGTGCACAGTCATTCACGCCAACAAAGCTGATGGAAATTGTCTATTGGTCTTCTTGGTTTGAACTAGTCAGTTATAAACAATCTAAGTTAGTTTACTCGTTGTAGTCTTTTACCGGTTAGAATCACAAAACAGAGTTTACTCATATATGTGTAATGATTGCAGATTTTCTAAAAAAAATACTCCCTATTAGATATTAATTAAAAATCTCCTCAGTTTTCGAATTATGTAAGTCACTCCATTAATTCAAGAGATACGAATCAAACACAAAACCGCCATCTTTGATAAACTTATACTCATCATCAAAACCACATGGGAAATATTAGGCATTAAGCAACACGTACGGTTGTGCATCCTTGTTGCACAATGTACTCAGCCTCACATGGCCAGTATGACAACTGGTTTTTGCTTCAATTATATTTTTTAACAAATCTGCATTATTATTCAAACCCGGAGGAAATGACAGAATCTGAAGAATAACTCTAGACAGATATCATCAATCATGAAATGAATTCAATTTTTCAAAAAACTCAAAATCCGCATTACACAATTCATGGAGACACAACCAAACAAATGATCCTACCTCACATTACTAAATTAAACCCAAACACATAACTTATGGCATCTTATCTTAATTTCTAAGCTTCCGGTTTGTTCACAAGTTTGTCTATCAGCTCTGCAGCTTCCTGGACAGAGGTTATGCTCTCCGCGTTCTGTTCTTCCACGCTTATCCCGAACTCTTCCTCAATACACATCACAATCTCCACCTATTATATTTCCCAAAGTCAACAAGACAACTACATACCACTTCATATATAAATTGAAAGATGGGCGGGTTCCATCTCAACTTACTGTGTCTAAGGAATCGGCACCGAGCTCTGCAAACTTGGTTTGAGGCGTGACATCAGTCTCGGCAGGCAATGCTAGTTGCTTCCTCACAATGTCACACACTTTCTGCACTGTCTCTGTTTTGGCCTGCCAATTAGTCCATGTAAGAGGATTTTGTGTGTGTTAACCTAGCTATTACTTAATTAGGCAACTTGCCAAGGACCTTGTGGTTTAGTGACACCAAATTACTCTCCCATGTAGGAGATTGTGGGTTAGAGTCTTAGTGGAAGCGGTATTAACTCTTTATATTTCAGTAGATTGAGAAAGTAGTTATAAACAGATACTGTATTGTAACAGAGGACAGTAGTATTAAAAAAAATAAAATTAAGCAACTTAATTACCGCACAACAGACGTGGAAGCGGCGGGTTGTTGTCAAGGAAGGGAAACCAGTCCTTGTTTTACCTACACATACCAAATTCAACCTTGCAGTACTTCTTCCCTCTATCTGCACATAACAAAATGCATGTGAACAAGCTAAGCTACTCCAATTCAACATATTTCCTTTGAATGCAGGCCGGATTATATTCATTTACTAATCACTTTACATATACAAGTACACACAAACATATAAAAGGAATAATGGTAAACCAACTACTTAATCATAAACATATTTTGTTAATTCATAATGAATAATGAATGCACTTATTGTATAAAGAATATAATAATTAATGGTCACCTACTACTCACCTGGATAGTCTTGGAAGGCTGTTTTACTGAAGTTTGGAGTCTGAAACAGGTAGCTGAAATAGCAGCCATGGAATCCCCACCCTATCTACTAAAACAAAGTAAGGCTCCAATTATAGAGAATCTTAACATATATATATGGGTTGTCGGTGTTGGGGGGTGGGGGAAGGGAGGGGCCGGGGTTAAAAAAAAAAAAAAAAAAAAAAACTCTTTAACAACCTATAAATGGACTAACCACAACATAATAAAATTATGGAAGTCATTGAATAATCAAATAGTAAAAAAAAAAAAAAAAAAAAAAAAAAACAAACCTCTATCACGCAACATACTTACTATCTTATTCTATGCATTTATTTTTGGAAAATAAATTATCAAATTATACTCAAAATTGTAATTGAGTCTCTAAATTGAACATGACCTATTCCTGATTGTAGGATGATGTAGCAGTTAAAGTTTAAAAAATTAAAATTTTAATTTATTTTAAATAAAATAAATATATAAAAAATCTAATCCCCCTCTTTGTCTCATGTGAGAGATGAAGATGAAGAAAGGTTCTTCGTCTCTAGCAGGAGACAAAGAAGAGTTGAGTTTTTATTATTTATTATTTTTTATTTAGAATAAACTAAAATTTAATTTTTTTCAAAGATTAACTATCATTTCAGCTTTAATAATAATAATAATAATAATAATAATAATAATAATAATAATAATAATAATAATAATAATAATAATAATAATAATAATCTATCATTTCAGCCTATAACAAGAAGTATATATCACTTTTAATTTAACTGCACGATTTTCTATTATTTAAGAATTCGATTACAAGTTTTTTGAGTTAGATAACTTAATTATAATTTTATCTATAATTCAATGATATATTTGTCCATTATTCTTTATTATCACTAATTCACAGAGTTAATTATCAATTTGGTCCCTCGACTATGAGGATTTCACCAATTTGGTCATCAACTACAAAAATTGTTCAATTTGGTCCCTAACTATGACATTTTTACCCGATTTGGTCCTAAGTGTTATTTGCCAATCAAACCTAAAAGGCGATTTGGGGATTATTAAAAAGAATTATTATTACCTGATCATCTTCAATCCAAATTATTATTATCATCTCCAATTTCCAGCCAACATCATCATCATCAACGCCAACATGTCATTTATTCACTAGACCTCACTCTTCATTCTCAATATCAACTCAACACCATAGCCGATCACCTCTCAACTACACCGCCGGACACCACCACCGTCCACAACTTCGCGGATGCTGCCGGAACGGTCCGTCGTTGCTGCACGCCAGTCAACACTACCTCCAACTACTACTGCTAGGTTAGCCGAGAGAGGGGAATGAAGTTAGAAGGTAGGAGCTGTTACTGCCGGAGCTCCTCCAAGACTGCCGCCGCGACAGGAAGCGAGAGAGGGAGACCGTTGCTCGCCATTGACCTGCTCTGCTTCGCCGAAAAAGGACATCGCTACAGTTGCTTTTGAGATGAGAGGGATAGGCGAGGGAGAGAGAGAGATGGAGGTCCACCGCCGTGCCTTGCTACTGCCACTGGTCAACATTTCATCGATCTACAGTCTGCGTTGTCGACGAGTGAGTAGCGAGGGTGAGAGGTCGTCGGAAAGGAGCTAGTTGAAACCAGAAGTCATCGCAGATCCGCACGCGTCGGTGCTCTGCTCGCCCACTGAGACAGCTGAGAAAAGAAGTAATGTGCAATTACAAAAATTTCTTCAAGTTTATTGCCTTAAACAAGCTAGTTTGACTTTAGGATCAAATCAGGTAAAAATGTCATAGTTAGGGATCAAATTGAAGAATTTTGATAGTCGAGAGCTAAATTGGTGAAATCCTCATAATCCATGGACGAAATCGGTAATTAACTCCTAATTCACAATATGAAAATGCAAAGTTGCTGGCACGCGTGGGAAACACGAATAAGCCAAAAGAAAAGAGTGCAGTGAGTAACACGATGAGTGGTGAACATTCATTCGATATATGGAATGATGTGTAAAGCCTATCGTCCAATCTGTTATTTGGATTTTGGATGGGGTTTGTTTGATTGAACTTTGTCTGCATAGACAAATTATATAAGCTTGCAAAAATCAACAAAACTACCATTGTGTGCAAAATGTATAGGCGGAGTGAAACTTGCATTGAGAATTAATGGGATGACTCCAATTGACTTTTCTTAGCAACTCTTGGACATGGATTTTGAAAGTTAACAATTAATCTAACGTAATTTGAGAAACCTAATGTATTAAAAAAAAAGAAAAAGAAAAAAAAAAGAAGGTAAAGCGATAACAAGATATTGTAAATGAGGTAATTGAGTCCATATGGACTTGGGTCAATCGTTATGTCATGGAACTCTGTTCACCATTCATGGTGAACACGGTTCCAACGGTGTTAGTACACCGTTATCTTTTTTTTTTTTCTTAATTAATTGCGTGACTTTTCTTCTTCATTTTCACATTTCGCGATTTCACTTTAATTTGAGGTGAGCAATGATTTCGGACATTCACAAATTATGAATTCATGCCTGCACATTCACTTTGGAATCATGCCTACACATTCCTGTCCGAAATCACGGACATTCATAAATTATGAATCCATGCCTGCACATTCACTTTGGAACCATGCCTACACATTCACTTTGGAACCATGAGATTATGAATTTTCAGTTATGAGATTATGAATTTTCAGTTATGAGATTATGAATTTTCTGTTATGAGATTATGAATTTTCTGTTATGAAATTATGAATTTTCTGTTATGAGATTATGAATCTACATTACATTCATAATCTCATAACAGAAAATTCATAATTTAATAAATATTTTACTTTTATGCGATTATGAATTTTCTGTTATGAGATTATGAATTTTCATTACATT